CCCTTTCACGTCTATCTTTTTATCCCGCCCCCTCTGTCCCATCTGGGCAATAATGGATGGAGGGTTGGAGGCTTTAATAGAGAGAGCCGACCTTTCTGCGATGCAATGAGTGTGCCCTCCTAATGGGCCTCGAGGGAAACAAGTACAGCTCCCTGATCAAATACTCCCAAAATTTAAGACCAGCGTTTATTCGAAATTAAATTCCTCATGAGACTCTGTGTGTCTCTTTTTGGTGAAGATAAATGGGTGCCTAGCGTCTAATAGTGTTAGTCTGTGATAGTGATAGATTAATTAAATCTTAATTCTATCTGGTAATTACCATAATACAGTGAATGTTAATTTCCTCTCTTACAAAGCTACTGAAAGGAGTCACTATGTCTTTACAGTATTCTTATGCCATCTTGTGGTCAATACAGGCAATAAGTTGTTCCTGGTCTTTAGAAAATAATCAAACAATGAATTCAACTGGTTGTACAGAAAATCACCACTTACTTATCAGTTAAATTGATTTGACAAGTATAAAAATGGCTAAACATTTCTTTACCCTATGTTTTTCATTGTCTTTTGCCCAAGTCCATCTAGGCCTAAGGCACAGAAAACCCCCAGAGGGGAAAAAAAAAGAGAGAGAAAACGTTGCCATGGTGAGAACAACTCATTAACAAGACAGATTTAGAGAGGCTCTTAAAATCGCTTTCTCTGCTCCATCTCCCTTGCCTCTCTCACTTTCTAATCAGGCTCTATGGGGGGACATGAGCTCTTTGGAGGTTTGGCTGTGCTGTCAAAAGGCTTAATGGAACCTCCAACTGACTGGAACATAACTGGTGTCTGAGGAGAAGGCAAGGAGACAGGACACCGGGGGCTGGGGTTACACAATGGAGGGGAGTCCACCAAAGAAATGAAAAAATAATGAAAGGCAGTATATGTGTTATATTAAAGCAACCAAAAATCTTCACAAGTTCACTGGGATTGATGTGAATGGATATAAATTAGATTTTCTCGTGAAGGAATTAGTTTAAAAGCACACTATTTGAATTTTAAAGGTTAGTCATGAGCACATCAAATTATTATTTTTTTAAGTATTAAAAGTACTAATAATTGTACTTAAAAGGACTTGTTGTCTTTCTTGGGTGACGATAGGACAGGCACTTTTTGTGAACCATGCAGAGGAAGTAAGGAATGCAGTTCTGTGTGCAGACTGAGCAGACTTGTGGGCAGGGCACACAGGGCCACAAACCTCAGAGGACCAGACTTAAAGCAGCATGAGGTGGAAAAAAGCTCCCTCTTATAGCAGCTTTGATTAAAGAAATGAGATGTGACTGAGGGCTGCGCAGCCAGGGAGTGCTTAAACACACTTATCCTGCACTACAGCTGAATTAGATTTTTCAATTACTAAGGTCCAGACTAATGTTGGATTTCAGATGGGAGGGAAGGGCCATTGCTGGAGAAGTCCAGATGACCTCTGTTGAAATTATCAGAACATTGTGAATCTTCAGGTAATGGACATCCTGAAATGTCTTTTTCTTTTATCTCAACCAGAGCAAATTTTCTATAGCGTGTCACATGGTGCAGTACACAGATTTACCCACTAGGAGGCCTCATAAATCTACACAGTAGTCAGCAGGGAGACATGTCACTGTGACCTGACAAGACAACAAAGGATAGAGTAACAAAACAAGAAATGAAATACAAATGTACTCAATAGGAAATCTTACTATTAGTAGATATAAGTAGGATATCATTTTAAGTCCAACCAGTCAGTGGCTGAGCATTCCTCCATTTTTCCTCTGTCACATTTGATGCAACATGATAAATATCTCAATAGATTCCAGTGATTATCTGGCTGTCACGTCTTGATGTGATAATCAAGCCAATAAGTCGAACTCAGTTAGCACTTAAAGCAATGTGGCACCTGGTCCCTTTTCATACAAAATTAGCCAGCTGAGCCAGGTCCCACTCTGTTAAACTAAAAACTATCATCCACTGATGCTCAGAATAAAAAAAGGCCAACTGCAAATCCAATCACAAGCGGGTTTCGACCAGTGGTCGATCTAATCTTAAAGGAACAACCTTTTTGGAAATATTCACTTTCAGCAAAAATGTATGAATTGGCAAATTTTAGTTGTTCGGAGCAACTTTCAGGTTATCAGAAATTAACACGAGATCTGAGCAGCTGGCAGCTACAAATAGGCAAAAACAGTGAAAACCTGAGCAAACATAAGAGAAACACATTTCTGTTTTCCCCACATATACACTTTTTGAACCCACGGATTACCTCTAAAAACAGGAAACGTGCAAACATGAACTGAGCAGCTTCAATACACGGTGGATAAATAAGGAAAAAGTTAGATCTGAAACCATTCATAAAAAAAATTGTTTAAGATCTTTTTTTTCTTACAGAAAAAAAAATACGAAACTAAATTTCATTGCTTTGAATAAAAGCAGTGCCTCAACCCGCCTCACAGTTGAAAGACCCTAACCAACCCCTGACCTTCAAATCCTAAAATTGTGTGTGTGTTTTTTCCTCATTAAGTCATGTCTCACGCTTTCTACTCCACTGTTCCCTACCTCAACTTGCTAAATGTTAGGCAAGTGCAAATTCAGAGTAATTTGTCAATGGGTATGAATGTGCTTTGGTAAAGCATTTCCAGAAAAATGAATTCTTTGAATCAGGGGAAAATAAGCCACCTTTAATTATCATCTTTCCTCTACATGTCAGAGATATTTGTCAAGTTTTGTCTCAGTGTTGGTGTATCAAAGGGAGCAATGAGTGAAGAAAAAAGAGACTTCAGAGGTCATTCTGAGATTTATTTCGTCTCCTGGTGCAATCTGTGCACAGAAAAAGGTTTTAAAAATCAAATTTTTACATCTCCTCTCCTGCCACTTATCATTCCTGATTTCTTAACAAGCTAAAATTCTAAAGTGCTCTTTCATTGGCTATGCTCTTCTTAAGTGACAGGTTTCTATTGCTTAAAAATGATTGGAAAAGTGAGACATGAAAGGGAATGAGGAAATGAGGCTGAGATCAAACTCTGCCCCAATTCCCACTCCTAAAATTTTATTACCGTAACTGAGTTTCAGCAGGACTTCCCTGAGTAAATTAAGTCAATCCATTTCATTTGGCTTCATCTTGTTACTCTACAAGCAGTTCTCCCTCAGGTGCTTTTCCCTTGGGTGCAATTGGCTTTTATTGAACCTACAAACCCATCGAGGGATTATGAAAGATCCGGTCAAACACCTGCTCTATCTCTACACTGATAGGAAAGCATGGAGAGAGAAGCTGAAGAGCATATTGATCAGACCATGCGTTTAAATAAATATTCCACAATTTAAAGGATATAGAGGAAATACACTCATAAAGAATTTCACAATAAAGTGAGAAAAATGTTGATAAGAACAACACAAGGCACCCAAAACAGTCAAAATAGTTAGAAAAGTCAAGCAAAGGCTTGAGGTGAGTGAGTGAGGGATGCATTGGTCAAGTTGCAATCTGAATGTGTTCATCTGTATAGGGTTGTCTGTTCAGCAGTGCACTAATACGGAGTGACTGGGACGCCTATTCAAACTACAGGGCCGGGACAATACTGTACCAAGGGCAGCAACATCTTGAGCTGTCACGGCATGTTAGCCAAAGTAGGCGTGAGGATGGGCCACGGTCGTCTGGCAGCATATTGTTAGGCTGCTCAGCCAGTAATTGGGGTTTCTGTTTTCAATAACCATATAGTCGGAGAAGTAGTTAGTAGGAACTGAATTCACTAGAGGGAAAAAAGAAATGGAAAAAGGAAAAGACAGAGACAAAAGACTTAAATTGGGACATTAAAAAAATTAATTAAACAAAACAAAACAAAAAACTTTTATCTTATTTGCTGAAAAACACTGATTCCCTGAATGCTTGTTCTCATTATAAATGTATCGTAGAGCCACGGCAAATAAAGAAATGTGGACACAGGTCAAAGCAGTTCTTGGAGTCTCTTTTAAGACACTCTCTTATCAGTCTGATGGGTCTTTTATGTTCTGGCAGAGGTGAAAGTGGGTCACTTTAACAAGCCAAGCAGTGTCACCCCCATACTGTCAGTTCCCTGCATCTCCCTGCAGGCCTAGCCCGTCACCTCCAGCTGCTTCTTATTGTGTCCCATTCCCAGGGGTGGACACCCAGTGGAGCATCTGCAGGTCTGTGTCCAAACTGAGGGGGAATCATGGTGGCTATTCAAAGGAATAGCCGCTTGAATAAATATAACATGGACTTAAAGGTATTTGAAAAAGAGAAAAGTCAGAAAATACAAAAAAACTGCTAGCAAAACATTCCATCATGCATGGGAGAACCAGTCTTACTAACAAACTAACATGCAGTTTGACAGGTTGGGGGCTTTGTGCATTCGTGTAGGGTTTCAAAAGCCTTTTCTCATGGTTTCTGAGTTTATGCTGGTGGAAAAGCCCTATCATCGCCAAAGGTCAAAGGTGTCTCAGGTCACAAAGCTATAATCTGCATCCGCACATGGGACGCCCAGCAAATCACTCACAAGCAGATTTACACCCACAAATGACAGAAGGCTCCCATCACTTAGTCACAGGTGGATAGAAACAAGAGAGGCCAAACCGTGGCTTTGGGGAAGCTTTTGCCTCATGTGTCCTGACTCTGGCACCGAGACAACCGCGTATAAGTATTAAACACAAACAGTTGGGGGGGTTTTCATGTACTCTGAAACAGGAACATTTCCTCACCAACAAAATATGTGATCATTAGTGCAGAAAAGCAGCAATTTGGTGTCACGCTAAGCCTCCTAAGCTTTACTAAGAGCCTCCTACCAGGTTCCACGGGAGGGAAGAAGGACAATGCAACATTATATATTTCAGTTAAAATGTTAACTGTCATTTAACGAAAGAACACAGAGGTCACAGAGAGCACAGTTATGAGACACTTTAAATACAGACAACCTGAACAGCAGCTTGTCTTTAGCCACAACACTTTCCACAACACAAACGCTCCTCTCTTTAGCCTGTACCTTTGCCATCCTGGTGCGTTTGAGTTTTTCCTGCCGGCCCTCCGGCGACCGGTCCTAGCAGTGGTTTGGGAGTCCAGAGTGAGTCCTGTTTCTGGTGCACCTTTGACACAGAGAGCAGGCGCTTGCGCAGGCAGCCCTCGGGCCTGGGGCTGGGGATGGCTCGGGCCTTGAGGCTATTCCCCATGATGCTGCTGGGCTTGAAGGAGCAGGGGGTTTGCTTCTCACCAGGGGGGTCCTCATAGCAAGGCTTGTGCCAGCAACTGCCCACCGGCTCCGTGGAGAGGCAGTACGCGTATGTGATCATCCCTGGCTAAGACCTAAACCCCTGCCACCTGCCCTCCCCTGCTCTTTGAAGGCCCAACCCCCCCCACCCCCCTTTCCCGCACAGTCCTCCTTCCTGGGACCCTCTGCTTCAGTTGAGGGGTTGGAAGAGCGGCTAAAGCCGTTTGCGTGAGATGGCAACCTCCCCCCTCCCTCTCAAACCCTCACTGACGCCCTCCTCTGTTTCTGGGAATATAGGATGGAGGCTTGGAGGTTTCTGCAACCCACATGGGACCTTATCCCCCCCTCTGTCTCCTCCTACTGTTTTTGTCTCTCCACTCCCTCTCTCAGGGGATGCTATTGACCTGCATTGATTCGCCTGACAAAGGAAAGCTTTACCCAGTGTTTAATTTCAAGATTTGATTCCAGAACAAATAAATTGGGCAACTATTTCTGCAAAGACCTTTTCAGAGTTTGCATGACTGTAAATTGGCAGTATTATAGAAATCCCAGCTTCTTGCAAAAGCAAGAGCTTTGACCCTTAAACATGACCACAATAAATCTTGAGAATTCTCCAAGATGCCAAACAATGGTAGAACGACAACGGGCAATGCCTTGTTGGAAATACCTGTGGTCAAAGCATGTTTTCCCTCTCAATGCTATGCTGTCCACTGCAATGAATACATCACCACAAATTGTGCAGACAATATCCACAAAAAATAAATCAAATCAAGTAACCAGTTCATGTCCAAAGATAGTGAGCACTTCCTTTGGTGCATAAAGGGCGGAAATCATAAAAATCTTACAATTCCAAAAGAATGTTCAGAGGAGAGAAAAAAGAGCACCCTCCTTCTCTTTCCATTTGAGATAGAACCAGCATTGTCCAGCAGCGTCCCCAATGGTCTCCCCTCTTGGCTCCTCCTCCCTCTTTCCAGTGCTCCTGGACGCTGCTTTGCTTTTCTAATCTGTAAAACCAGATTATCCAGCCTCCAGCCCCCAAGACTCTGATTGTGACAGACGCAAAACGCAGATGGGCACCAGGCTGCACTTAATTGAGCCCATCACCTCCATTGACCGATGTGTGGAAGTTCAATAATACCTGCTACATGATGTGTCAGCAGGTAAGGTCAGATGACGAAAACTCATCACTAAGACCCGCAGATCTAATATCAAACAAATTTCTCGAATTTATTTCCATGAATTTCCTGTAAAATGCAATTTGATGTAAAAAAAAAACACACAGATTAATGTCAAAGTAGTGTAATTTAGGAGAAGGCTGCCAAGGAGCACAGAACGAGGAGACCAGATGGGCTGAGCATAATACCTGACAGTCTGACACAAACAATGTAAGCACAGCAGACACCAGATAGACTGATAAGTGTTACACAGGAAGACAAACACACTGAGACGCCCCACAGAAAGAGCAAACACCTGAACCAAGTGACACATTACTCTAACACCCACCTCTAAACAGAAAACAAGACCTTCACATGTATTTTGTAAGATATCAAATGTTAAAAATGAAGAAAAAAGAAAAAAACGGTAAAATTTGTCTCCCCCTGGTGATGGCTTTGACAAGGGACACAGATCTCTGATCTGGATTGTCCTGAAAGTGCCTCCGATTCTTCATATTAAAGTGAAGCATTTTCAGTGAAAATCTCTGATTCAATGCTTTACTAATAGAGTTTAAGTATTATTTTTAATTCTGTAAATGGCAAGTTATTGGTAATACCTATAACCCTGTAGAGTTTGGGATATTTTTGGGGATAACTCTTAAAATGCAAATGTTCAGTTACAAAGGTTTGAGTTCAGAGCAGTGATCTTTTTTTTCTTGCTTTTTTACTAATGAAGACCAATTGGAAGGTTGTAGGTTTCATATGATAGATTCAGTAATGGGGATGGCAAGCTGCAACTTTTGAGCAGAAACCTACAGCAACTTTGGGGAACGCGGGGAGTGAATTTGTGAGTGGCTTTTATCCTGCCAAAGCCTCAGCAGATAGCTCCAGGCTAAAACAGCCATTACCAACAGTTATCATTTTCACAGCATGGCGAGTCAGCCAACACACAAGCTGATTACAAAAACCAAAATCACTGTGCACACACACACACAAACTACGATGCACAGACCACAGAGTGCATTCAAAGCACACACACACACCTCAGAAAAACACAGTGTGGACACATGTAGTTCACTGGGCAAGCCAAAAAATTCTGTCTGTGGCCTGAATTGCACTTAACACAGTTGCTGCCCTCAATCCATATCTACACAGACACAGTGGATCATCCAGTTCACTCGGAACATATTTGGAAAAGGGGGGGTGTTGTGTACACTGACTGGCAAACAGGAACCGGACGTGTGTAACTGTCGGTGACGGTTGCGTGCACACATTCAAATGAAATGTCATAAATACTCATTGGTTCTAAATGTTAAGGCCTGAGATGCACAGTGGTCAAACCTTCACAATTCACTGCCTGTGAATGGCAATTATCAGTAGTCAGGAAGTAGGCCTGCATGTGTGTGTGTTTGTTCCAGTTCTTAAGCCATGCCAAAACCATTCAGAGCTCAAATTGTGAGAGTGTGTTTGTACATAAATACAGGTTTTTACACTTTAGTGCGTCCATACACTTTAACTGCAGTCTGAACACACACACACACACACACACACGCGCGTTTGACTTTGATTACTATGTGTGTTGCGTGTTTGTGTGGGGGGAAGCGGAAAGCTTTGGGAAAGGAACAATGGTTTCCATGGACACGCATAGGTCTGAATGGAGCGGGAGAAGCACCTGCATGCTGAGTTAGTCCTCTGTCTGGAGAAGTCATCCACTCATCAGCAGGGAGGCCACTATTGTCCCCTCAGACTTCACCCACGACAAAGGTTTGTCACATTGTCCGCAGCAAACCACATTTACATCTACCAATTAAGAGGATTCTTCAGCTTTATCATTGTCTGAGTCAAAACAATATCTCCTTACGAAGTTGAACATTCTTAAAAACAGCCAAACTTTGCAGAAAGCTATTGTTCTTCAAACTCTTCCAAAAGACAAAAAAGTTTCATTGGAGTCCCAGCAGGTCCCATTCACAGGCGACTGGAACCTCACCAGCAATTGTTTACTTATCAACACCAAAAATCTCCTTCTCTATTGGGATTTGACATATTTTCTGAGGTCAACAACTCATTGTGGATTTCCTCATGTGGTCGAATGGAAAAGCACATGATTGCATGATATCTACTGCCAATAATCTATGTGCCAGTAACTGAGCAAAAGTTGCTTATGATGCATTGTTTTAACTCATTTAAGAATAGTCTAACTGTTTCAATTCTACCCAAAGAGCTGAAAGCAATTGTTCAATTCGAAAAAAGACCCTTCTCTGGGCATGTCCAAACAGCTCGGGATCACTTTTGGTCCAAGGTAACGACCTAAATGTTCTGACATATTTAGTCTGACCGTTTTGATCTAAATGGAGACAGAAACATGATGCGACGGTATGCATTACCCATACACGTACATAACACGCCTCAATCCATGCACTGGTCTGAGTTTAGGAAGCCGAGGCACTGCACTCACTTTTTCACCTGAATTTAATATAGACTCTGCCATCTATCAATTCAGCCCCTCCCTGCTGTCCTCTGCTCTTCCCCTCTACTGGAGATAAGCAGCCTGTCACATTCAATGTGAGAACATCCATCATCACCACCACCCATAAGGCCAGAGGGCAGGTAATGGGTCAGTCCCAGGTCAACAGGTCAAAGCCTCGCCAGATACACACAGCACAGGTGCCCTGATTATGGGAGGACCGTCATCTTACAAGTTCAAATAGGTCATCGTTTAATGGGGTTTCTAAATAAAGGTGGTTGATAATGATGCTTACATTCATCCCTGCTTTTGTTTTTTATTAAATCTTCCAGCGTGGTGAAATGTTAATCACACGCAATCAGGCAAATGGTCTTTGAGACATACTCCCGGGTGGTAAATAATAATCCTCATACCTGCCAGCATGGAAACGTTGGGAAGAAAGTAGAAACAAAAAACAGACCTTTTCACAACATAACAGAGGAACCATGTAAATGCCAACAAGGTGTAATGAGGGATACTTTGCCTGTGAGGGTATTTTCCTCATTTTCAAATGGAGTTTACAGGACTGTAGCACTTAGAATTACAAGAAGCAACTGTCTTTAAATAGCTTTGAAGTGATGGTAGCCAGCTTTCTTTTGGTAACTGTGCTCTTTGCAACGTTTTAACTGAAAGAAAACCTATGCTCAGACCTAAGTCTCTTTCTAACACAGGTCATATTGGTTCTCTTTGTTATTCACAAAGTCAGTAAACCAAGTTAATTTTAATACGATTTTTTTTTTTTAAATCATTGAAAGCTATTTAAACTAAAAAATGTCTAAACTTGACACTTGACCATCTACCGCTCGGTCTATAGAAAACATATGAATACAACAAACAAACTTCTGTCCACTATAAATGTCTCTGAAGGCTCTTGGTCAACCAAGCCCGCTAAGCCAAAAATATTTCCTTCAAGACAAGAAGGAACTCAAAATGGCCTCAAGCGAACTGGAAGCAAACATAAGGGGTCAGATAAAGTCACTGCAAAATTTTCTCTTTGCACAGCTTAAATTCCCAAACATGGCCAGATTTGTCAAATTTCTTCCCTCATCACAGGAGAGGAAATCTTCAGTCTGAGTGACAGCAACGTTTCCAAGTTGGACAAATCCCTACTCACATCTCATCTCACGTCCACTCTCTGGACTGACAACTGCACTGGAGCTCAAGTGCTGAAATAACTTATGTAACATTCCAAAAGCCACTCCAAGTAAAAGAACATAAATCTGGCTTCACACAGGGCTTACGTGATAATACAGGGCTTTAGTGCAGAGCTGGTTTTGGTGGTGAAAACAGAATTCGCTCTGGCCACAGCTGGATGTGGAGAAACATGGACTGAAATGTGTCACATCTGTCCGCAGGCTGGAAACGCCAACTGAGGGGGCTTGTTAAATCATAACATGAGCAGATACTCTGCAGCTGGCAACCAGT